TACGTTTTAGTGTATTTATATATTAATTGAATTTTTTTAATATTATTTAATTAAATATTAATAAATAATCTTGCTATTGTGGTGGTCAACAACCGCCCTAACTGACTCAATATCCTGGATTTTCTACTGTATACCAAACTGACAAAAATTGCTTAGTTGGCACGATAACGTAAACGTCTACTAATGTCGTAGAAACAAAAATAGTAAAATAAAAATTATGGCAATAAGTTTATATTAGAATGATAATATAAGTTGTCACGATAACGTAAACGTCTACTAACGGGTTCGTTGTACAAGGAATAATCGTGATGAGTGAGTTATCGTCCCACAGGGAATAAGGCTCAATTTTAGAGTATTGATATATTTAAATTCGCAAATGTAACAAAAGATGGTTGATTTTTAGTTGACTACGTTCTATAACTACGAAAGTAATAAAAAAATGGATTTNACCTAACAAATCCCATAAACCAAAATTCGAAGTCGTCTTCCGTGACGATTTCTATGTACTTCTGTGCTGGATTGTCGATGTTCTCACTTTCGTTAGCTCTTTTTATCTTTTTCACCGGAACAGAAAGCTGCAAAAATTGAAATTTCGAGGACTTCAGTTAGATAGATGTATCATTGCCAGTGGACATATGCTCAATGCGTAATTTGATAAGCCAATGTATTTTTCATGTTTTAGAATACAGTTAACCAACATGGTAACTTTTTATTATGTAAATCCTTTTTACTTCTACATTCAGGAGTATGGTTCTCTAGACCTGCCTCGACGACTCACACCCTCGTACACAGATACGATCTCCCCAATTTCAGGGGCTTTTAGGCTTTATTGTTTCATTTTTCACATTTACAAAGAAGTGACTCCTCATTTATTGCTTTCAGACTTCGACTAGAGGTCAGGATTTTGCCCCCTTCATTATATGTTCACATATTTAGATGAGATATGACTGTGTATCTAAATTAAAAATCAGAAGATTATTTAGGCTCACTCGAGGGAGCCTTGACCTCCATTTTGAGTTTTCGAGGAACTTGACCTCCAAAAGCATATAATGCCAATGTATTCCTCTTCACCTTTCAATTATTTTACACTCTTTAAATAGAGATATATGATACAAGATAATCACACTAGTTTCTAGTATATAGATAGACCATCCCACTACATAATATGCTCCCATGATTCCAATAACTATCTTGACTCTTTCAAAATAAAATAAAATATTGCTGTTGTAAAATACAAACAATTAAAAAATAGCTATCTTCAAAAGTAAAATTAAGATCGTAACACTAATCCCTTCAATTATACAAGTTTTGATAGTAGGTCATAATCGTCAGCACGTTGAATGGTAGAGTGGGTCGAAAATGTGAAAGATATTGGTTTCAGATAGATGGGATTAAGAAATATAGTGTAACTAGGATGGCAAAGTTCTTAGCCCAAGAATAGCGTTGTCAACAAACAAAGGAGTCTTCAAAGAATACCGCTTGATTTATTTCAAAATAGAAACCTCTCTAGATGACAAGACTTGTATTCATCAAATTCTAAGTTAGAATTTAAACAACCCTCCAACCATAAGTAAGTTCCGAACATAAATTTCTTCCATTTTCGAAGGTTAAGACTGATTAAGTTCAACCATCATGATACATAAACAAAACAAAACCTAAGAATAAAATTAAGAAATTACTTCATTTTCTAAGTAGTCTGGTCAATAAACCTTTCCAATTATATACTTTTCTTAGTAAATATTTGTAAGAGTTCTATGAATTAGTTCGATGCTGACCAAAACTTTTGCTCAATATACACAAAGTGCATCTTCGGGGGGCTGCGACTAAACATTATAATAGATAAGATTTTAACTTCTCTTTCTTCTTCAGTACTTTCGAGTGCTATTTAATTCTTGCATAATCGAAATCATTAATTAGGGGTTGGAAAATTTACCTTGTAAGGAGTCCTGTAAAGGCTTCCAGAAGACAAGTGAAGGGTAATGGGTCGTTCACTGCAAAATGCAATTTTTTCCGTGGAAATGAAAAGAATCCCTGCAATTGGACCAGCTGTTGTTGATAAATAGCACTGGGATGCCTTCAACAAATGCTCTCCCTCAATAACACCAAATATTTCCCTAAATATATTTTGTCTGCCTCCTTTCTTAATAATTTGGGCCCCAACACTCAGCTTCCCCTTCACTGTTTCTGATAATTTAGGCCCCAATCTAACTGCAAACTCAACATTGATAAAATGTAATTAATTCCACATATCTATCTATATACAGATCAAGACTCCTGCATTTATACGAATGGATGCAAAACTGTTACACTTAGCCCTTGTTTGATGACCATTATTTGGGAGTTTTAATGTTTTGAATAGTGAATTTTCAGAGAACGTGTGGTTAAAAAGTAGGGTAAAGTTTTGGGTTTACGTTCAGCATATTTTACTGTGTAAATATGTAACTGAAAATTAATATGTAGAAAAGAGAGTTTTGAAATAAAGTAAGTCAAACAGGGGCTTAGTTTGATAAGGTCGACTGCACAATGTTAAGGGATAAATTCCTCATCAGTTGAATACAAAAATATTAACCAACATATAAGAGTTTGAGTTGTTGCTTTTAGATTGACCGTGTAAGATGGGACCCATGTCTTTAATATGGTATCACGGTCCATTAAGTTCAAACGAGTGTCAAACGGGCATTTAAAATGAAATCCCAAGTCTTAATACATAAAACCTTTTTCAATAAGTAGAACATATTAGCTATTTGTTCTTGGGAGCAATCACACACACTTTCTGATTATGGATCTACTACTAGAAATCAATAAGTAATTTCCATGTATTCCTAAATAATCTGATTTTTCAAATATTCATATTACCAATTTTGAAGTTAGCCAGATTATTCTAATAGTGCATACCAAATATGCCATAAGAGTATGTTACCATGTTCGCGGATTCTGTAAGCTAAACTGTTAGCCTTTCTTTCCAACTTCTTATGGTGATTCCTCCCAGTTGGGGGCTTCCCTTTAACTGCATTTCAAAGAAAAAATTATTAGATTTTTTCTATTTTTTTTCCGACAAGAAACACAGAACAACATAAAGAGTGCCTAATTTAGAAATTACATACTTGATGTGAAGGCAGGAGAAGAATCATCTGAAGAAGAGGAGCTGACAGGTTCAGATGAGGATTTTTCAAATGAACTATTACTACACGTTAAAGGGCTTCGAGGAAAACCATGATCTTCAAACTTAGAACCATTCATTTTATTCTGAATTTTGGGTATTTGCAGCTGTCAATGTAGGATGAAGAACAAGAAGAAAAGGAAAGGGGGAGGAAAATTATTATGGTATATTAATTGAATGGAATGGGCTTGTTTGAAATATTTATTGGGGAAAATTGCAGCTGAAGTACCAAATCTTTCATTTAATTGTAAACTTTGCCCAAATCTTTCACTTGTATCACCCATGATACCAAACCTTTAAAAAAATCGCAACTACAGTCCTCATTGACAGTTTTCGCCTGTGGCGACGATACCGGTGGTGGTGGTGGAATGGTGGATGATTTTCCATGGGATGGGATGGGGGTGGCATGGCGTGGGGAAGGAGATGAATTTTTGTTTTTTTTAAAATTATTTTTGGGATTTTTAATT